ATGTTATATGGATTGAGTCAACCTAAATGGGTTACCGCCTGTTTCCTGAAAAATTAAGTTTGGCATAACTTTTAAAAAGTCGAAAAGAACTTTTGAGATCCAAAAGCTGTTTTTGGACTCGTTTGACTAATTTTATGAAAGTGATTCTTCCAGTTAGAAGTGGTTTTAGAGAAAATTTGTCAAATATAACTTCTTCCAAAAGTACTTCCGAAATAGCAAGCTTTTTTAAAATTAGTTTCCAAACAAAAATGAAGATAGTTTCCTTCAAAATCTCTTCTACAGAAAACATAAGCAAAAGTAAAAGTAAAAATCATGCCAAACAAGCCTTAAATGCTGTGGCATTTTGCAATTTCAGGTGGTAAAGAAACCCCCAAATGGTTATAAAATTTCAGTTGAAGCATCCACCCAAAATAACAGGGCTCGTGACAATTGAATGGTCGACAAGTTGGACATTTTAAGCAAACGACCAACTGATTGAAAGCCTATATATATATATCCTCTGCAAAAGCAAAAGTAGTGTTACAACTGAAAATCCTTTGAATATTTGCTCTTATCTTTCTTGAAAGAGCAAACATGGCTCGACTCGGAATTCTATCCATCGTTGTACTGTTAGTGTTAAGGCAAGCCACGGCCGCTGCACTACCATGCTCGACTGTCACTGCAAAACTGGCCTCGTGTGTATCATACATCGACAACCAATCTGCACAACCAGCAAGTGATTGTTGTGCAGGAGCGAAGGGGATTCTTGCACAAGCAACATCGAAACCAGATAAAATAGCCATCTGCAATTGCATAAAATCGGCCTTAGGTAATCTGGGAAACAAGGTTGATTCCGGTCGAGTTTCTAGCATTCCTAAGCAATGTGGGATGTCTGTTAATCTTCCTCCGATTGATAAAAACTATGATTGTTCTAAGTAAGTTGACTTCTCTCGATCTCTTCGTTCCTCAACTCACCATGAATCTGACTTCTGGTTTTTCTTATGCAGGATTTCTTGGTATTTCTCGCGAGGGTTCGCGGAATAATTTTATGTTCTAATCCAAATAAAATTATGAACCTAATGGTGGAAGAATGACAGCTAGTTTGGATGATTAAATCATCAACCAAGTTTATAATGGCACTGAAATGTTCTGCACGTCCAGTTTCAAGATCTGTATCACGATATTGTAAAATAAAAAGTATGGCAATAAAAGTTGACAGCCATTTCAGTGAATAATACGACTTGATCGATTGATTAGAACACATTTTGAAAATCGAAACTTTTGGAAACTTCGGGAATAGTTTAGAGATGTTGAAAAGTAAGAACGAGAAAAACTTTCTGTTAAGAAACTTGAAAATGAAAAATAAACACGCAAGATAATCAGAATGAAAATACAAATTGTTCAATAATTTTTTTTCATACCAACTCACTATAACTGAAATATAATCTATGCCAACATCTAGCATATTGTAATAGCTAATAAGGTATAGCTTCATTTTACAATGGAAAAACTGAGCATTATTCTCAACAAATTTAGGTCGGCTACGTGAATCCTTAAATGAACAAAACATTGTAATAGTAGAAAACAAAACAAAGCTTGATAAAATCTAGCTCTTGTAGATTTATCGTGTTCAACATTCATTGCAGAAATTAGGATTAAAAAAATGAAACTAAACGTAGACTTGGCACGCCTAATAGAGATTACTAACATTTCTTCTTTAAAAATTGCTCTTCATCGATCTCACTCAACACTAAATTGTCAGATTTCCCAGAGGTGAAGGTATCTCTCACCTTAAGCTTGGAGTTCTCTTCATTCAATGGTGGAGATGATGATCCAGGAACAGAATCAACGAAGAACTCATCCACTGAAACGAAGTCACGTGAAAGTGTGAAAAAAGGGTAGTAAAAATTCCAGGCAAGCAGCAAATAAGGACCAAAACTGTCACTCCATTAATGTGTAGAAATAAATGAAATAATTTTCAACCTAAACATAGCCAAAGTTCTATAAACATCAAAAACTACTTGTTTCATACGGGATGCTAAGATTTGGAGAGAGAACTGAGAAAACTGAAACTTTTTTATTCAATAAGCCCCTCCTCAGCAAACTTATTGGTCTTATTTATATAATGCAACCAAAATCTCAGTGGTGGAATAAAATCTCAAAATCGACTTAGGCCATTTATGAAGTGACCATTGATATATCTACACTACATGCTTCTCTGTATTTTTGTTTATCAACTGCTTTTTGTTCTAATGATTGGCATACCACATACTTAAGGCACATATCAAACTTTCGTTGAAATTGAGGCCTTGATCAATTCTTCAAATGTTGAAGTCAAGTTCTTTAACATTTGTGGAAGTAATTATCATTTTTGAGTAAGAATTAGCTTCGTGATATTGCATAAATGAACACAACATGGAAACTTGTGACACAAAAAGATTGCTGCATAAGACAACGAGAACTTTACCTCATTTCACAGCCACGGAGTGAAGGAACATAGCATCAGGAACAGTATCATGGCAAACATGGCCTTATTCTAGAATTAATTAGCTATCTAAGTCAACTTATTAATGAAAAACTATCACTAAGCATCTATGTCAAAGGAGGTCCGAGTCCTCGAGATTAGAATATCATTAGATTCTACTCAGATTGGCACTTTTATCTCCCTAAATTTCATCAATCTCAATAGAAGTAAAGTGTACTTAAGGAAATGGCTGTTTCCCCTATTACCTATATCCTCTTGCTCTGGAGAATCAAGAAGAATATCCGAATCCGAATGCAGAAAGTGGGAATCAGAACAGTTTCCAAGAGCTCCTAGTTCTGGAAATATTTTCATAGCAACAAGCACCATTAATTACAATTGTTTAAAGGGGGCAAGGAAAGAAAAACATAGCAGCATGAAGGAAAGGGTCTTTCTTGCATTAAATTGTTATATCAAAGCATATAATAACAATTGATCAGGAGAGGAATTACCTCCCAAGTTTGATAGGTCTGCTGTTAAGTCCGAAAGGCTGAAATTCCAAGGTATTTGAGCCCACGAACGGAGGGAATCTCTAGCATTCCCGCTACCATTATCTGCTGGAAGCTGCAGTCCCACTGAACTAGCTACATCAGACGTAAATGTCATATCAAGTGCTGATGTTTCTATTTCCATGCTGAATATCTCCGATGCACTGAATGGGAAATGGCCACTCGAAGCCACTGATGTTGGGCTTACAGGCATATCTGATATGGATAGCATTGCATTGTTTGTTGTCATTGCAAGCACATCAGTTCCGTTGGTGTCAATCATCATACTTTAGAGCAAAAAAAAAAAAAAATGCTTGTCAGCAGAAAATATACAATTTATAGTAGTTTCATCACAGAAATTTCATATATCTCCAGAAGTTCATGACTAGCTCGATTTCTTTTCTGTTACAATGAACTTCAACAAAAATATATAATTGTTTTCAGGCTTCAAAAGCATGTTAATACCCTTGAGAGAGATTGAGGATATATTTTTAAATTGTTTTGAGCAAAGATTTCACTTTGGCAACATATCAAAGAACTGATTAATAGAAGGAGCAACAATTTAGCACCTCAATTATTGATTAGGTGAAGAAATGCACTCCAGAAGTTAAATTGGCAAAGATACTTTAGAAGCATATTTGCGGACTAATTGGCATACAGGATCACATTTCAGAATGGGATGTAGCTAACAATACTATCCTTGATGAGTGGTACAATCATAATATTTCTCGTGCAGGTTTATGTATAGCAAGGTAAAAACATATATGAAGCGAGAAGATTCAATAAGCATATTAATAGAAGATATTAAGAAACTACGTGAAGGAAGAGAAATTCATGGATATCCAAATTCTTTTCAAATGTCCAATATGAGGGGAAAAAACAGAGAGCCGATGCTAGTAGAGGAGAGTTCTCACTCATTTCCAGAATTCATCCGCATTGGATGGAAACTGCCTGTGCCAGGTGCAGGAACTCCATTTACTACATGACAGCTATTTGTGGAATAACCTATAGAATCAACAAGAGGTTGCCCTGTAGCTGGAACTGGAGGCTGGTGCACAACGGGGTATCCCATAGGTAAGTTGTTGACTGCACTGCAAACTAGTGGCATTGAATAATGATAATAAAATAATACAGAAAATAGCAATTTAATAAACATAAAATAGCTGTAATTCAAACCTTTCAGTGGCCTAATCATCTACATCCTACTCAAAGAAAGCATTAAGATCTAGAGGGAGGAGGGCACGGGAAAGGGGAAAGAAACATGGTAATAACAGTCATTTTCCAGAGCAACTTAATTGCCAAAATCAAAAAGGCTGGTTCCAGTAGAAGAGGGCCGGCCATAAACACCATGATCTCGAAAGCAAAATCCTCCTCTCACGACAAATTATTGATCAAGTAAAGGACACAAATAGGACAATGGGAAGACCTGTTTATTTTTCCATTTAAATGACAGCGTCCTGGTGATTAAATGGTTGCAATATTTTCTGAGAAAAAACTTACAGAAAATGTATTTCTACCAAATCTGCAATGACTTAGCAGTAACAAACATGAAAACTTTCAATTCTAGTCAGAAATTTTCCTATCTTTTAAGATACTGTGGCATCAGGAATGAGACTTTCATCATACTGTTGGCAGACAACAGATATATTATTTATCTTTAAGGGAAAAAAGTATGAAAGGGAACAGTTTACGAGACAGATGCACATCCGTTGAACCTAAGTTAACAATGAAGAACTAAAACATGAGGACTATTTGTTTTGCACCAACAGGTTTTTTAACTCTCTCACATTGGATAAACACGTAGATCTGGCACCATTATGACTCTAATGGATAGAAGAACAATTTAAAATCACATCATTGAGTCTTCAAATTAAAATATAGAATATTGTATTTTGCTCAAATAAAGGATAGAAATTAAGATTTACCTGGCATTGGATGAATTCCATTCTGCATAGGAGCCAAAGGAACCTTCATAGGCACTGGATACTTCATTAGATTATGCTGATGCTCAAGCAAGTGATTGAATAAGAGAATTTGTTTCTTCAATTTAAGCCTTATGTAGTAGCCCCGGAAAAAGTCAGCATTTTCTTCTTCTAATTTGTGCCACACTATATTGAGAAAGAAAAAAAAAATAGAAAAGAAAAGCAATGAATATAGAAGCTTCACCATTGTAATTACATCAGATTCAAATCCTTAAAGAAGCATATATCAAGAGAGCAACTAATCATAGTACGCAGATGCCAATGCGTAGAAAGTTTCTTTTGATAACCTGAAAAATATCTACCTAATGTTGAGAACCCGGGATCTATCCTGGCACGATTCAGTAGGGTCTTTACCACCTCATCTCTATTCATGTATAACATTAGGCATCGTTCGATCAAATTCTGGACCTATAGCAGATTACGATTATGTTTTTGACATGGAGATTGCGGCCAAAAATTCTCCACGGAATTTTCAAAAAGAATGAGAAAAGACCAAAAGAGAAAATTGTCTTACAAGTTCAATATCCTCTCGTGAAACTTTTCTGTTATCAACGGTTGATGCTGAAACTGAACCTGAATCTGGCACAGGAATCTCTTCAGCATTCTTTGGTTCATTTAGGGACTCATGTGAAACCTGATTAGCAGCATTAATTTCGGGTGTATTATGTGGATCCTGAAAAAGGTTCTTTATTTAGTCATGAGATGACCAAGACAGTGATACCTCAGAGCAAATGTTAGAGCAGAACAAAGAAAATCATAAACAGAAAATGTCTTTTATAGAGAACAATAAGAGCAAGATCAACCTGTGTCTTCTTCATTTTAGCTAAATGCAATCTGGCTGTGGACATCCATGATGCTCTTGTATCTTACTATCCTTAGTTAAAAACTGCCTCAGCTTCCTAGATAAATAATCTGTGAATAAACTGAAGCGCTTCTCCTCCTGGAAAGTAGAATTTTCTGTTATATGTTCTTCACCATTTGGAACCAAATTCCGAACGACGAAGACTAAGATGAAACAATCGGAACTACCGATCTTGATGGAATTTAAGGGATCAAGAAAACAAACGAGTTCTTCATCTTTGAAACATAATAGTTCAATTATTACTTGTTTGGTAAGGAGGGTTGGACAGTAATAGAAAATATTGAACAGGAAAAAATCAAATAAAAAATCACATATTGTGATGTCAGGGACTGCCAAACAGATATTTCAACTGACTAACGCCATGAGTTTATGTGTTGTCAATCATTCACAATTGCAACATGTTAAGATAGTTTGTGCGAACTTCACATTTTTGTGGTGTTGCAATAACAATCTCAAGCTACAATAACTTAAATGTCTGGCAAGACAAAGGTTTCATGTGGTTTATTACGTCCACTTGACATTACATGTTTCCACTAAGAAAAAGAAGGTCACAATGGTACCATTGTGTCTTTCAGTGTGTGTCTCAAATTACACCTCTGGTCACTCGAAGTGAACCAATGAATATGGTGACCACTGTATGTGTTTTCACTCTCATGATCACACTTCTTATGTTTTCTTCATAGACATTATTTCAGCATAAACCATCAGAAATGTGGAGAATTTTACATTCACCTAAATGTTCAATTGATTGTGCAACCACGAGAAGATGAGTATAAGAAGTAACTTGAGATTTTATTGATACAGGGAAAATGTGCTGATAAATTTCCATTCTCAGATAGAATACAGACGAACGTTGATTAATTTTACGTTCACACTTCTTACTTTCTTTTCTTTTCTTTTTTTGTCTTTGCATCCACCAGCCCAATTTTTTGTTTATGTCAATTAATCAAATTGCTTAACTTCAAAAGGTGAAATAATATTTGCCCTCATCTAAAGGAATAACTAATAACAGGAACAAGAACAATGACAGTAATCAAAATGCATAGCTCCACCAACTCTTCTAGTTTAAAAATATCATCTATAAATATTTGAGCAATTAAAATTATTTTTCTTTGTTTCCTACACATTCAAGAAGATGAATAACCTCAAACAATATCAAGCCGAAAAACCTCAAGCTTATAATCTATTTACATTTTAGAACTGAATAGTGAATCCATTAAAAAGTACCCTTTTTTTCTTTCAAGATTTTTCATGTCATGTACCCAGATTTTCCTCATTCTTGAAACTCTAAATTTTAACTGAAGTACTTAAGTTTAACATCAAATTCTACAAATTTTCAATTCTAATGCAACATTATTCATAGATAAGAACTAAATATTCAAAATAATTGACAATCAAAAACTATAAAACAAACACAATCAAAACAATAAAGTACCTTTTCTTCTGACAGCTTTCAACTTCAAATGGTGAAAAGTTCCGAACTTTATGTTTGAATCGACGAATTATAAACTTGCAGGCCCAGAAAAGGGAAACTGCAGATTCAGGCTCAGAAATTCACAAAAATAAGGGAAAATAAATAGGAAAAAAAGGTTGAATTCTGATGTGGAAAAGTGAGAAATGGAAGTTCAAGAACTCTTGTTTCTTGAATGACTAACGACAAGGACTCTACACACAGTTATTAAGGTTCCATTCAAGAAAAGAAGAAAATTTCGAAATATTAAAGGTAAAGAAAATTATGTGCATGTGTGGATCTTGTGAGGGGTTTATTGTGGTTTAGTTGAAGTTGTCAAGCTCAATGGTTCCTTTTGTATGCCTTGTTTGTTTCATTTTCTTTCGACTAAATTCTTATTTTTTAAAGTCAAATTTTAATTTTACTAATAATACTTATTAACCATCAATTTCTTGAAAAATAGAATTTCAACAAAATAAAATGAAAATGTTTGGAGGCTGTGTTTAGTTGGTTATAAGAAAAGCCTTCAGAGGAAAAGACCACTAAGAGAAAGCGAAAGTGAAGAAAAGATGGGAAAAAAAATCTGCAAAATGACCAAAGCAGATTTACAGTAACTGTCTTATCATGTTGAAGAAGATTCAGCAGATGAATTGTCAATAGGATGAAACGTGAGAGTTAGCAGGTTATCCACCAGATTGAAAATACGGTTGGTTATGGCAAGAAGGGATTCGAGAATTTGATACCATGGTTTTTAGTTTTGTGCTCGAGCTACGGATCATTTTCAGATTACGGTAGAAAATGAACATTTCCTCTATTTATATACTTCATTTCAGGTCAAGAGGTAAAAGTGCAGAACTGTGAGTTCCTAGTGTGAATTGGGGGAGAATGAACCAAAAGCTTGATCAATTTTTAATGTATTTAGAGTGGACATGATTCGATTTGATTATGAATTCAATAAAATTGAACCAAACTAAGTACAAATGAATTTTTTTTATAATGGAACCAAACTGTTCATTTCTGATTTTGTTGGGTTTGTTTCTGGTTCAATAACTAAAGTTTTTAAATTATAAATGCAATTTAAAGTTCTATTAACATAAGTTAATTATACCTTCAAAATCCAAACAATAAACATAAGATGAGTTCAATTCTCAAACAAATTATTGTATAATAAAATTCATTTACTAATGACCAAACTAAGCCCCTATTTGAGCTCCATTTTTTGGGAAAATATATTTTGGAATAGTGGTTTTTTAGAAATTGTGTGATTAAAAATTAGGAAAAATTTTTGAATTTACGTATAAAATTATTTTATTGAAAAATGAATGATTGTAAATAAGTTGGAAGAAAAATTAAATTTGAAAAATGGATCTCAAACAGGGACATGGTCAAAGTTTGAAAATACAAACATCAAGTTCAATCTCCATGCAAAATATGGTTTAATAACAATGATTCACTATTGTAGACGAATGATAAAAGTTAAAAATATTAAGGTCCATCTTCATGATCATCTCAATCGATTCCTTTACATGAAAACCTTCTAATCTAGATGAAAAAAATGAAGAGTGAAATATAAAGTTCAATGTAATAGAATTCAAATACTTTTATTGTATTACGTAGTACTTAACAATTGTTTAATCCATTGCTTGGGTTGTAGCGTTGAGAAACTCTATAAAAATAAATAAATTGGTTACCTGTTAAATTGGATATTTTGACGTTCGCAGTGTAATTTGTAAAATAGATAAATAATTGGTCTTTATTAAAAATAGAAATTAAGTGGTGTTCTTGATTCCTATTCTAGTTTTCAGTTATATGTTGTGTTTGATNACAAGTTGTGTTGAGCTTACAACGTATATGTTTGACCCGTTGGCACCTGCCCAGTATGGAACATGTCTGTGTTAAATCTCATTCTTTACGAGTGAGTCTAGTCTAACAAAATATACAAGTTGTGTTGAGCTTACAACGTATATGTTTGACCCGTTGGCACCTGCCCAATATGGAACATGTCTGTGTTAAATCTCATTCTTTACGAGTGAGTCTAGTCTAACAAAATATACAAGTTGTGTTGAGCTTACAACGTGGTCCCACATCTTAGATCTACTTCCCATTCAAATTGATCTTTTGATCATGATAGTTTGGATGGACTTCCATACTTAATCATATTAATTTATATATGGACTATATATTTGATAGTTCAATTCGATAAAGTTAAACATGATTGAGAAAGAAGAATACGTGTTAGAATTTGATAGCACGACATTGTTTTTTATTTTTATTTTTAATTCAAGTTGATAGAATTTGATAGCACGACTTTGTTTCTGATCTATTTTCTAATTCAAGTCCTGACCTCAATAAATAGAGATATATATTATAAATTAGAGAGGAAATTAGAGAGGAAATTAGATTTGTGTGTATTTTATTGAGAATCAAAATTTCATATTTATAGAAAAGAATTAGAGATGCAATGGTAATAATTTTTAGTGCTATAGGGGTACAATTGTCATTCACTAATAAACTCACCATTTACAAACTCTCCCTTAAATAATACATTACAAAATATCTGCCAAACTAAAACATTGTCAAGAAAACCCATTGATACAAAATTTAATTGAAGGAAAAAGAGTACAGTGGTTCCCTTGATTTCAATTCTTATAGCAATTCATCATTATCTTGTATGTCAATGTTTTCAATATTATAATTTCTAGTGAAGTATGTCTTATGTTATATTGTATAATATTTAAATAACATCGTCTTCATACAAAATATTCATCAATATTTGATGACTTTAGTAACATGATAACTCGAAACATAGCTCTTGATGATCTATTCAAAAATCTCATACATATCAGAGTATTATTTTGAAGGTAAATGTCTTTTAGGTTATGAATATTTATTACACTAAGAATATACCTCGTTAAAATTTTATGAAAAAAAAATGTGGAAAAAATCTTAATGAAGAAAAAAAAGTACATTATTCTCTTTAGTGCGCTACAAATGTTGTCTCATTAAAAACTTTGTCACGAAAATGCAATGGGACAAAACCTTGATCAAGTAAAGAAAGTACAACGCGTATTTATTCCCCTCATAATAATATCACTTTAATTATATGTTTCATGCATATTAAATCTTTCATGATAAAATTAATAGTCATGTCAAATAAGTTGGCTATAATCAAATTTATTGTATTTATATCAAATGTCATGTATTGGCAAACTAATAAAATAGGTACTATTGATTGCATTCACCACATGATACTTTATCTATTCACACACGTCTTCGTAAAGTTCACTATGTGAAGAGTCGTACATTTCATGTTACGACTTTACTTTTTTCATTTTCATTTCACATAAATATACACATTTAAGTGTTTAAAATGTAGATTTACAAACTTCAGGTTTCTCTAGTAAGTTCAATTTAGGATTGCGTCCATTTTATTTGACCAATTATTTCTTCGATTGATATACTTCGAATGAATTTATTTCGATTCCTCGCTATGTGATGCATTACATCGTGTGCAAAAGTGTTGACAACAATTTTTT